TGAACAACCTAGAGATGACCTTAGTGCATAAACCCAGGGCTCTCCCTGGGCAAGGAAAACATAAAATAGACAGCAATTTAAATTCTTTTCACTCACTCGACCAACATTTGTTAAGCATCTACAGCATGTCAGGAGCCATGCACCCAAGATGAACGTGATAGTCTCCACTCTCAAAGAATATATAGAGCAAGAATATATAGGTAGGGCAAACTCTTAAAATTTTTTTAAGTCAATATGATGGTACTGTATACTGGCCTTTGCTTTCCAAAGAATTATCATTTATGGGTAAAAGAGGTTAAGGGAATAAACAGTTACAAACTGCAAACTGTAAAATAAATTAGTCATAGGAATGAAAGTACAACATAGAGAATATAACCAATAATATTGTAATATCTTGGTATGGTAACAGGGGGTAAGTACCCTTACTGTGGCACGCATCTAGTAATGCATATAATTGTCAAGTCACTGTGTCATACATCTGAAACCAATATAATATTGTAAATCAACTTTATTCCCATTAAAGTAAAGTAAAATAAAAAAATTTAAAATAATTATTCAAATTCTTCTATACTTTTATTTATGACTTAAGAGAACTGAGGAAGACAGATTTGGAACAGGTATTATTTTTATTTTTTTCCTGGGTTATACTTTCCAATTTTTGAACTCCTTTTCTCCTGTGTGTGTGTGTGTGTGTGTGTGTGTGTGTGTGTGCGCACGCATGTGTGTGAGGGGGAGAGAGAGAACTCGGAAAGACAGAGTACTTTAACATGCTCTGATACCTGGAGCAAGATTGAAATAAAGTATGTTTTCACCTTATGAGATGGAGCAAGATTAATTTGAAGCTATTTCTGGTATATTCTTTACTCCATGGTATTTGAGAGCTTTGTTCAAGTCCCTGAGAATAAAGAACAAAAATAAGAGAAACCAGTAAGATACCTTTTCATGCTACAGTTCCCGCACGGGGAAGATCAGAGGAACCCCAGGTTTCCCAGACACTCCCATGTCTAGACTATCACTCCACAGCTTTTACATCCTAATTGAGACATTTGAATGCCCCGGTGCAAGATAGTCAAGGCTTGCCTTAGGGGACCACAGTAGGTGGGGATCTATAGTTTAGGGAGAGGTTAGTGTCCTCTGGGAATCCCGTACTCAGTTGGACCAGGGATGGAGAAGGTGCTCCACCTGTCAATTTTCAGAGTGAGGACGATCAACAGAGCAGCCCTGTGGCAGTGATTATACATCTGTGAATTGGGTTACCAGGACATGTGACCCTTGGATCAGCCTGGCATACAGTTTCCAAACGAGACAAAGATGGTATTGAGTTACCAAAGGCTGTGCAAGTACATGCCTGTTCCTGTTACATTAGGATTCATGTGCAGAAATTACAGAGGGATGAGAGGAAAGGAGTCCTACTTGTGTTTTGGAATAAAAGTGTAATACTTTTCCTTTTAAATGGCTTTGAAAATCCTCAGATTCCTAAACTTCATACATTTGAAGGGTTCAAAATTATTTAATTCACTTCAAATAAAGACTCAGTAGTTTCTTCTCTTATGGCCTACATGCTAGAAATTTTCCTTAAAGAGGACAAGTAACAAATCCTGTAACTTTAAAGCTTACTGCTAAATGGAGGAATTGAGGGGTTTTTTCCCCCATCTTTTTTTGTTGAAGTATAAATGGAATAAAATATCATATTAGTTTCAGTTATGATTCGACACTTCCATACATTGTGAAGTGATCACCATAATAAGTCTAGGTACCATCTGAGGAACTGAGTTTTATTTTTGCTGAAAAGGCATTCATGTTTGGTATGATGAGTGCAAGCAAGCTGTAAGAAACCACCTCAGCTAAGGATTTAAAAATAAATACAAAGGCCATTCTTCTCTAAATAACTCAAAATTCTCTTTTTCGATCCTATTGCCTAGCACCTGCACAGTACCTGGTAAATGTGATCAACATGATATTTAAAGACTGATGGGCCTAACCGATGACTGGTACCATGGGAAGGCAGCTCTTCCTTCTGAAAATGCTGCCAGTTTGGGTTTCCAAATCCTCAGTCTGGATCACACTCCCAACCCCCAACCTGAATGCCTGGACACTAAGTCCTTCTCACAAACAGGAAGCCTTTATCTCACCACTGAAGACTGCAGCAAAGACTGGTAAAGGGAGAAGAAGAAATGGGAGAACGGGAGACAGTTTTCATTTTGAGCCATGAATTCTCTGTAGAAAGCCAGAGTCCACTCCAATGAATGGTATCTTGAAAGAATTGTATCTATCAATCAATCAACAGATAATTATCAAACCCTACTATGTGCAAGGCTCTATGAGAGGCCCACAAGAGCACTCTTTCCAGGGAATCCTGGGTATTAGTGGAAGAAGCAAGGGCTTTGAAATTAGATCTTGAGCTAGTAAAAATTTCAGTGTGAAAGTGTCTTGTTACAATTTACTTTATGATCCACAGGAAGAGAGGAAGGTAAATAAGTAGTATAAAATGATTTTACAAAGAATTTAGAAATATAAGAAGAGAAGGGTTGCTAGAAAGAACTGGGCTAACCACATTATTTCCTACCAGGGCACCTTAGGGGATCCCTGTTTTAATGAATAAATAAAAATGATGTGTAATTATCATATCAATTGCTTGCATCAAAGTGAGTGCTTCTAGAGTTATTTGATGGTGCTTAAAAATCTTTGGTCTCTGAAGTGCATTTAAAGTCCCCTTGACTCTTATCTATATTATTAATTTTCAGATCAAAGTTAACTTGGTGCTATGCAAATGAGGAGACTTCAAATGAATGAGATTTTGCTGTAAACTATTAAATCCATATTGTTTGTAACAGAACTGCAATATATTTTGAGGACACATGTCAACATATCTGAAAGAGACATTATGGCTTAAAGCAGCATTGTACAATAGAACTTTCTGTGATGATGGAATATTATTTATCTGTGCTGTCTAGCTGTCCACATAAGGTAGCTACTGGCCACATGTGGCTATTGAGCACTTAGAATGTGGCTAGAATGACTGAGGAACTAAATTTTAAATTTTACTTAATTTTAATTAATTAAAATTTAAATTTAAACAGCCATATGTGGTTAGTAGCTACTTTATTTGACAGTAGAGGCTTAAAGTATAAGAGAAATCGGATTCCAAAAACCTGAATTCCAGCCTCACCCTTATTACCTTGAATAATTTACTTAACCTCTGTGAGCTTCAATTTTCTCACTTGAAAATTAGCATATAAATAATATCTACCTCACGGGATTTGTGGTAAGAGGAATTGAGATATGTTCGAGCATTCTCCTAATTCCAAGTAAGTACCCATCAGGTACCAAAGTTAAATATGTGGAAAATGAATAACCAACTCACTCATTTAAAGGGACTTTACATTCCTAGATAACTCAAAAAGTGCTTAATTCATAATTATCCTCACTGTTCAGATACAGTATTTAATGACAATGTTTATAACTGTCAACTGGTTGGCAGCACTATTAGCAATAACCAGAAATCGTCAGGTGTCAGCCTGCAGTGTCAGTGCAAGAAAGGGCTGCCAGTCAGGAAGTTAAATTTATAGAAGTTGAGGTCAGTTGTGTATGAAAAAGTACAGTGAGAACCGAAAAGGGTGATTCAAATGTCAATGCAATCAATTCTTTATTATTGTTATAATTAATAATGTAATTCATCTTGATTGCCCAAGGAGGTTAAATAAACCCATTCCATTTAACTGGGAGAAATTGAGGCACAAATTAGCCAAATAGGCTGTTAGTTAGGAGCTTGAGCACTGTTGTTGAAGATAATCACATGAAATAAGGAACATGAAGGGCATGCTGCCTACTAAGAACTAAAAATTTCAGCCATTATTATGATAATAGGTGACATTATTGGGAAATCTATGAGAAGAGAAACTTTTGGCTATTTTTCAATTCCCAAAAGTGTAGAGTGATATTTGCACCAATTTAATTCTACATGACTGGACATAAAAAGATCATCTCAATTTTCCTTATCTGCACGAGTCAAGAACTGAATCTAGTTGTTTTGATGCACTTCAAATCTATTCTGTGGATGATGCATGAATACATGAATGAATAAAATCAATAAAATAAGCTGGTAAAACTCATGAACCTTCAACATACAAATTTCTCCAAATCTGAGACAATATGGAGGTGAACGGGAAAAGGACGGATTGGGGGAAATGGTTTACCAGTTACATTGTTCCCCTGCCTGGTGGATATGTACCCAGAGTACTTTCTGAGGCATATGGTGCTTTCCTCTGCCTTCCACGGCTACTCCAAGGGGCACAGGACGGGTTTGAAGGAGTGCTGGCACAGGAAAGAACAGGGCCAGTATGCCGAGGCCTGGGAGGAATGGTGGGAAGCAGGGAAATAATATCATTCTTCACATCGCCCGGAATCCTTATTATTTTGTCCCACTGCTTAAACTCTTCCCATCTAGAGCTCATTTGGTTTGACAAGAAATAAAATACACATTCCTCTAAGCACCACCGCCCACCCCCACCAAAAAAATAAAAGACTGTACAAGGGAATCTCACGTCTGTGATAGTTGCTTTACTATCAGAAATGGGTGTTCTAATCAGGATGTTGTGCCTCTTTGACCAGAAAAATTTATCATTTTATAGGAAAATGAACATTCTGTTAAAATATTTGTCCAATGCCCTCAGGCTCCCAAGACACCATTCTTTGGTTCAAGTCCCAAGGCCTTGAACTACATATGTCTCCTCATACTGATTTGACTCTTTTTTTAAGAAAGAGAATTTGTTCCTATCATCTAACTCTGTCTACAGGGCTTGTATACTCAATAAGGGGATAAAGAAATATTAGCACAGCTTTTCTTTTTTAACAACTTTAGATGGAGAGGATAATATTTCCACTTTGTGACTCCATCAACTAGCACAGGTCCATTATGCTCACAGATACAAAGACTTTGCTTTTTGGACCTACTTTGATGCTTAAAGAGCCACAGATCAGTAAGAAAGCATGTACGTTACCTTGCACCTGAATTCGGGGGTGCGCTTGTCCCTTGTATCCTCTTCTATGGTGCATTCTTGGTGGCCCACCATGTGTGCTCCTGATCTGCTCTCCCACTTTTCTAGAGTCCTCTCTTCTCTCTGGAGTTCTTTTGAGTCACAGGAGGAAAATTTTCTGTCTCTGGACTCACCGGAGCACTTGAGCAAATTTGAAGCTAAAATAAGCTGAGAGGAGTAGTCGTGTCTCAGGGACTGAATAAGCAGAGATCCAAGTTGCTGCTGCGCATTCTTGCCTTATTTACCACAAGTCTCCTCTTACCCCTCTGGGATGTTTTGCCTTGACAATTGCTGTGCTTCAGACTGGCACTCTGATGGTGTGTTGTGTGGGGACAGGCAGGTTGTGGTAAAAGCTGTACTCGTGAAAAAGGCCATTGTTTGAGGTACCCTGTCCCTCACTGGAGCTATGGCAACAAATTCCGTTGGTGAATTAACTGTGTCATTGTGTGCCGGCTCAACTGATTATGCTCCTGGAATGACAAACATTTTTCTTTTTTCCAAGATAAAAAGTGGTCAAGACCTTGGAGTGTTAATATACAATTCAGCACTTTCTTTAAATAGGAGAATAAAGACAGAAAATAAATCTCTCAAGCACACTTTGGTTCTAATAAACATTTTATGTCCTCCAAGGAGCTATTCTATGCACCATTAATAGTGAGTTTGTGCATTTTAACAACAGAATCTTCACAATTTGTGTTAAGGTAACTTCCCCTCAGATAACACTGTGTGTTACAAGAACTCTTTAAATATGCATGTGCTTGGGCCTTTCTGAGAAAAGATTCTTTTTAAATCTGGCTACCACAAAGTGCATTGGGAACTGCAGCTGCTGACCATTAATGTGAAATCATACCCCAGTTCAGAATGAAGGCTGCTGTCCCTCCAAATTCACCTTAGCCACGTGAAGATTCCTATGCTCCTATATCCTAGCAGGAAAACTTTTAGTGGCTTTCTCACATATTCCAATCTCCAGGATGGTCAGATTTACTCTGATGAGTCGAAGGATCCTTCAGCCTTTTTGTCCATCCATCCACCCATCCCACAATTCCTCTGTTGGGGTGCTGTGCCTGTTGCAGGGGGCTGGAAGGCTCTGTCAGTGAATTTGCTGCTGGTGTCCTAGGGTGATAGTGTGCAGTGTGCCGACTTGCTGAACAGGAATTGCATTCCCTGAGATCCCCTTCCCTTCCGGCTCTGGGTTAGAGTTGGCCAGAAGAGGAATTTGCACACGATGCAGAAGGCAAGAGAGAAGCAGCCGTCATTACTTTCCAAAGGTCATCGTGCTTGGGTGTGGTGAGGGCAGAGGTGGTGGGGACAGCCGGTCCCTGCTTGTCCTCACTCTCCTTGGCTCTGTCCCGATCTTCTTCCCCCCCTGCTGACCCTGTTGGCCAACAGCAGCCCTGGGCCCACCACTGGACATCTGTGCAGCCCCGGCAGGCTTCCTCCTCCACTTTGGCAGCTGGATGTGCTGGGCTTCTGACTGCCAGGTGGGTATCTTCTCCCAACCAACTCCCCACTGGACCTCACTCCAACAACCGGCTAGGTCTATTCCTAAAATACATCCCTTCCTCCACAGCTCAAAGCGGCCCTGCTTCCCTTATTGAACTGGGACTGCCAAACTTATTTTCCCCAACGATGCAAGGACTGTCAGGAGAGAACCCTCGGCTTGGCAGGGAGTTTAGAAGGGAACAGGGAGAAACCCATGTGGAACCTGCATCTAGACATGACCCAGGAACCCCAGGAAATAGATGTTACCTTTTATCGGATCTCTTCCCGCAGCTCCCTGGAGCCCTCACCCTGCAACACCTCTCTTCAGACCCATCCAGTTCTGCAGATACTCTTCCTTCTTCAGCCCTCTGGTTTCCCTTAATCCTCGTCCTCATCCCCCATGGATCATCCCCAGAAAGAGGCCACACTCCAGTGGTGGGGTCCAGCTTGTAAACTAAAGGAGGGGACAAAAACCCCAAGTCCTGGGCACATTATTTTTTCCAGAGTGATTCAGTGGACCCACTGAAATGATGGCCCAAGCTGACACAGCACAGATCAACTCAAACAGAAGGTTTCTCGGAAATGAAACTGCAGCCTGGTTCAGCAGTCAGTAAAACATCGTGTATGTCTGTTTGTACTGGTTTGCTCTTCTCAGTAATGGGAAAATAACACTTGTGTCATCAAGGCCAATGGTTCACAAGAGAGGCTTGTTTTGAAATTGCCTCTTGTTGTCATCTCTTAGAATAACAGTGCATTTGATTATATCTCCAAGTTTCTTGTCTCACATCCAGAAGAAGAATCAGGCCAATCTATTACCTCAGTTAATTCCTGCTTAGAGTAAGACATTACTTGTCATGAACACAAGAAAGTTGAGAGGATAGGTTTTGATTAATTCTGACTATAAAGCAAAACAGAAGGGAGACAGAGTGACCAATACAACTGCCTACTGTACTCTTATCACAAACCTAGTCAGGTCAATAAATTAAGCTGAATGTCCTTGGATTATGAAGGTGTGTATTATCTGATCACTCATTGGTGGCTTTCTGGGGTCTGCTGTACTTCTGAGAGTCTCATGAACTAAAATGGTCCCCGGATATCAATTCCTGGTGGTCTACCACGGGAATACTGCAGAGCTCTGAGAGTTGTATCAGTTGGAGCCTAGCTGTTCAGGCCCCCATAATTGGAAATAGATTAGTAGCAGATCTCAGCTACCCCATACCGTACCTTGTGTAAATTAGGGAAAGGTGCTCCTCTGGGCTGAAGCAGTGGGAGGGCTGCATTTCAGCCCCTATTGTCCTAGTCTGTGGGGAGCCTCTGAAGCCCCTGACCTTCAGAGAAAAGGGCACTGTTGGGGAAGGAAACAGCCCTATCACAGGAGATATACACCTGAATTTGGAGGTCAAGTATCCTCATGGCCCAAGAAGTGTTCTATGCTGGGAGACCTGGGTAGTTCACTAGGCCGCAGTCCCAGACCTGGCACCTTTGGCACCAATTCCCCAGCAACATTTGGTTTGCCTTCCTAGGACCTCACTAGTCACCTGAGAGTGACTGACAACCATGGCCTTGGGTGCCATGTTTAAGGCCCTGCTTTGGCTCTCCTCCTCTGAGGAGTCCATGTGGTCATGGGGACAGGGTGCATACCTGGAAACCTCCACTCCCCCCTTCTGGAACATTCTGGATGTCACTGCGCAAATGTCCTCAGCCTGCTCCTAGTGCCTGCATGCCCTCTTCCTCAGAGCCACCCTCCTGGGGGTAACCTCCCTGCAGATTTGCATACCCCTAGACAGAAGAGGTAGTGGAGCTTTTAGCAGGAAAATGTGAACAGAATCTAGATATCTGGACTGCCACCACCCAGCACAGAGAAGGGGCTCTGTCTCTGCCCTCCCATGTATATACACATATATACAGTCTATTAGCATGCTTCCAAACTTTTCAACAATTAGGCATATGATATATGGGCCTCCATTTATATTCTTGCCCTGACCCCACAAATGTAGGAGCAGGCCAAGCTAGAGATACTGTAAATCATGGTAGAAATTAATGAATTAGTTAGCATTGTATGGTTATTTTAATTAAAGTTAATTACAGGTAGTTTGTCATCAAATGTCTGCTAATCTCTGAATGTATGAGCAATACGGTTTTCTGAATCTACATGGCTGAAGGCTAGATTCTGGACTGAGGGGAAATAATCTGTTCCACCCCTAGCATAGTTCTTGGTGTATAGTAGTTGCTTTGAGAGTGACTGACAACTATACATGAATCCCTAAAGCATTTTGTGACTGCCTCTCATCATTTGCTGTGTGTATTCCAAATAACAGGGCCTAGAAACTCTTGGACTGATGAGTTCATCCAAGGCTGTTTTTGGGTTCTTAGTCCTGAGATAAAGCCAGGGAACAGATGAGGAGATGGCAGCTTCTTTGGTTCTGGAGTAAAGCAGCTACCTGTGACCCCCTGCCTTTTTGCTTTTCCTGATCCGCTGGAATTAGCTAGCAACAGTTCTGAAAAAAGGAATGAAGACTTTGCATTTCCAAAGTAAGGACTAAAAACACAGTCCATCCGCATGATGTCAAGACCTGTCCAAGTTCAAGTGCAGAATTTAAACCTTTTGCACATTACTGCTTCCATTGGATTTGTTGAGCATCTACTTTGTGTCAAGCCCTCAAACAGGTGGACAATTAAGGCAATTACAGTAATACCAGCCTTTGTTGAATTACAAAGTAGTATAGGAAGTGTTGTTAAATTGAATATTTCCCTTACTTATCTTTCACACACACACACACACCCAGCTCATCATTCTCTATTTCCCCTCACCATGCTTTGTTTTACTTCAGAGTACCTACTGCCAAGGGACATATTATGTTCATTGGTTTATTATCTATCTTCCCTAGCAGAATGAAAGGGCAGAGACTTTGCCTCACTGCTAATATTCTCAGTGCCTAGAAGAGCACCTGGAACATATAAAGTGCTCAATAAACATTTTGTTAATGAACAGATTAATTTAGCATCAAAATTGCACTATTCTCTTCTTATTCAATTTGGCTTTGAGTGGACAGGAGAATAGTACAAAGAAAAGCAATCTGATTTGACAGTGGAAGGTACTTCTGGAAGGACTGGAGGCAGGTAAGTAATGCTGAGCATGGGGTTCAGATCTGGAGAACAGCTGGTGTCAAAGAAAAATAGATGCATTGAGAAATTGGAGGGAGCAAGGACTTTTGGATTTCAGTAGCTTTCTTTTTAGGCATACAGGAGTTTTAATTTGCAGTAACTTGCTGAAACAACCAAGCTCCAGTCAAAGAAACAGGTTTGTTGATCCACTGGGCCATTCATAAAACTTCTGTCAGGAGTTAGAGTGATAAGCCAGGTAACTCAGTTGTTTTCTTTCCCTCACCTCATAACCATGATTTGAATGGATTGTTGCGGTTTTGCAGACCGTTTTTCTCCCTAACAGAAAAACTGACTTTCTGCCTGGTGTAGAATTGACTTAGACAAAAATTGAATACAACAGGTTTTGTAGTGGTCTCTACAACTTTCCCATAGCTTTTTGCTGCTTGCCAGCAGCCCTTTCATGATGCAGAAATTCTGTGCTTGACCAGAGAACCTGGTTTATTGTATCTCTCTCCTTTTCCCTTTCCTCTCCTCCATTATCTCAGCTACCAAGGCAAAGGGGGTCTTTAAGCTTCAACTGTAAACCTTGAAGAAGTCATTTTGGGGGAGGGGCTACAAGTTACAAGATTGCTAAGAACTGCCCCACCTCCAAATGTTCCTGACTATGGACATTGCAACTGCATCCAATGGTGGTTAAAAGAGAAACACAGACACTTAGATATCAG